ACCGAAATCTATATCCTATCTTTCCCTTTTCTCATTCTTCAAATCTCTAGTCATTCTACATGCATATTTTTGTACGACTACCCATTTCCTCCATATTACGAGAATCATAATTAATTTACTTTGATGATTGTTTTTTAACATTATTTTAAAAGGCGAAATACTTTTTATATTAGATGTATACTTTTGATTATTTTTACCTTTATATATTTGCCTCGATACATTTCTCCGGAAATTAGTCCTTTAGTAAACTGCTTAATCTAGACCTATAATAACAGGCAATTTATTTACCTTTCATTGTTCTAGTATTGATCAAAATTTTTATTTTGCTATTCATAAACTTTTTCAAATTCACCTTCAAAGCTGAAGGTCGTTCACTAAGTCTTAAAAACCCCATTTGGCATGAAAACCTTCGTGTATATATTATTGTTTATAAAATTCTCATTTTCATTTTCGCCTTACACATTTTCGCTATATATTTGCACCAACTTTATTGCTACACTCTGCAACATCTAAAGAATCCAGTTGACTCAAGCTATTTGTCCATCAGTACATCAAGATAGAAAATCTTGGGGCTTGGAAATCCCGGCCATACTTCGTGGAGTAAATAGTGTGAATTTTGATATCAAGCAATTGATAATAAAATTAATCTTCCATACAACCTCTTAATGAGGCTAATTTCATATCCTAGACCTTGTTTGTTGAATCAAATTTTATAAGAGCCTCCTTAACTAGCCAATTATGTGGCCATACTTGTTTTATAATTTCGCTTTTAAGTTGTATTATGAAATAGTTGCTTGATTACATTTAGGTAGCAGTAAATTTTAATTTATTTTTTAGCATAATCAAAAGTTACATAGAATATATGTATACGTAGCCTTTTGAGAAGTCCAGAATATCGTTGGTCCTATCTTTACGAAATATTCAGCCTAGGAGGGTATTCACTCAGGGAAACTAGCATCCTTATTTGCCATCTTGTCCTAGATGAACTTCACACCGGCCATGTCTGTGTTATCGAAATTATAAGGAACTATGATTATCCCACTTAACAATATGTCCATTTTGGCACTTTATCAACATAGATTCTGCTTCCATCCCGCACTTTGAGATAATAATTAGATTACGCTTTGGAAACAAAATGATCACTTTAGAGATCTCGTAAACGTTTTGTTACGCAGTTTCCGGCATATGTTTCTTAGGAATACAATTTATAGAATATTTTATGCTAATGGGGGATCAAGATCTGCTTTATGCTGTCATTTCTTTATGCAGCCTTCCTGCCATGAAGAACCGTCTTCCACTCCAAGCTCATTTCTACCCTATTGGCCGACAGTTCTATCATCCCCGTCATCGCCCTCAGCCCGGACGATAGACGTATTGTCAACGCCGTCATTTTCGCAGCTGCCGGGGCCGACTCGTCGCCTCTGCCTAGCCTTCTACCAAGTCGCGTCGGTAGCTCACTACTTGGACGATCGCGTACGTGCCGGTAACTCCCAACGACTGCTGACGTATTTACAGGAACGCCTTGTTGGTTCAAAAAGTGCGGGGCTACTACTAGCACCTGGCCGGACATTACTACGATGTGGCTATTTAGAGAAAGCAAGCGACATTCCGTTAATTAGTGTGCTTTTTTATGTATAATAGTAAACAGAAAATTTAGCCTTATACGAACTTATTACATAACTTATTCATTTAGATCAAAACTTCACATTAATAATTTATAATTAGCTTGCCTGGGCTAGGATACTCCTTGTATAGCTGGCTATCGTTTGGAAATTATCCTATCCTTGTGTTTTTTTGTGGGCCTGACCTGGTTTTTGCAACTTGACCGGAGCAACAATAAGACCTTGTGGAACGTACCTAGTCCTGTGCCCTCTGCCATAGTATTCACGATGATTTCCGGCATCGGGCCGTTGACTTAGTACATTTCCAGAGCCCTTCAAATGACATCTGAAACTTGTGGTGAAGTGATTATGCTTCACTAAATCCACTTGAAGCGACACCCTTAGGCGGCATTGAGGAAAACAAGAATAGAATGCTGTGAAGAGGTAAATGGGCCATATGAAGTGAAGTTGAGGGGAGATGCACTATTGTAATCTACGATAAAAAGGTTGGAAGAAATAATATTAGAGCAACTGGACAGAAAATTGTCTTTATTTTTCGCTGATAAGTTGTAACTCTGTGCTAGGGATGGTACTTCTAATTGGTAATGCTGTTGAAACGTCGGGAATGTACCAAGTCCACGGGTCAATGCTAAAAATCATCATGATTATAATGGTAAGGGACGCAGGACTAAGTACGTTCCACAAGGTCTCACTGTCGCTCTGACCAAGTTGCGAAAACGAAGTCAAACCAACACAATTCAGCTAAAGGAGATTGCAACCAAAAACAAGGCCACCATCTTGGACTTCATATTTATGCTTTTATATTTCCTATAACTAGATACCTATTTATAATCAATGTCTGGCTAGGCTGTATAGAAATGCGTCATCTCTCTTTACCTATGTTTAGCGATGTTTCTTAAGTTACTTATCCTTCCTTATTTTTATTTTTACATTATATTTTCTGGACAGAAATGCGAGTCTTAAATCAGGTTGATTTGATAGTGTTTCACTTTTTAAGGTTAGACCACGGAAAGTTGAAAACGCCTGACGTCAATTTTCCATTTGTAAGTAGGTTTTTGAGCGTACAACTGGATCTTCTATAATAGCTCTATTCACTCTATTCCGTTTAAGATGAGAAATTATTGATAGTTGAATTTTCCCAAAATACTATGGTTAGTGCTCATGAATTTTACACGGCTTTGAAGATATGAAGACCAAGATGTGGTGGCCTCTGGTTTGGTCGCAGTCTTCTTTCGATTTATAGAAGTGGGTTGACCTCGTTGTCGCAACTTGGTCTTGTGGTCAAGGAGACTATGTAGAACGCACCTAGTCCGAAGTCGTCTGCCATAGTAGTTGTCATGATTCCCAGAATCTGACAGTGGACTTGATACATTCTCAAACGTTTCGCCGGCATCATCAGTTAGTTTTGCCATTCGCCACAAAAACTCCAGCTAACTAGGTCATTGACCAATTCAAGTTTATGACTACCAAACCCATTTTCTCCTGTAATTGTACAAAAAGTACAATATTTGCGCGTCTCATATAACATTAATTTGACTTCTTTCTTTTTTATCTTTATAAATAAATACATCCGCCTAACTGCTCTTACAATAAAACATTTTACGTAATCATATTGCATTTTATATTTTCATACTTTTACAGATTTTTTCTTTTTCCCTTTATCTTTGTTGGAATTTTTCATCACCCAGATGAACCAGTATGACGGCTCTTTTTCATCTCGACTCTTCATTCTCCTTTCTGACTTATTAGTCTATGCAACACCTTCCGAATCCTCTGATTCCATTTTCTCCTCTACTGTACACATGAGGCATCGTCAACGGCCTCGACCCTCCTCCCGGCACTTACATTCGGTATTCCGGCCCTGGTCAGCCACATCCATGACCAGGACGAATATCACCTCGCCACCAGTCGATTTATCCTCTCCATCTTTGTCCAATGACTCCCCACTCGAAAGTCCCCAATACGAGGCACCGCCAGCTCACCGAATTTTACCAAGCCCAAGCTACCTTCATCCCAGTTTTATACGCTCTTTTCGATCTCCAATTCAAAACTTCGCTGGTTTGGAAGCAAGAACAGAAGCTTCGCAGCACCATTACCCATTGGCGTACAGTAGTCAGTGCATCTGGCCTTCATGTATGCCTGAAGATAGTCATTTTGATCGACTACCGCAACGTCTTTCTGCTACTGTCGCCTTGCCTTTACATCACTGTATCGTAGAGCCGTGGTGTCATCTACCGCCTTTTTGGCTATCTTCAAAAGAGGATAAAATGAATGTAAATTCATTTCATATTTCACCACATCGCTTCGACCAAGCCTTAGCAGTCTCCTCGGGATCAGGTAGTTACTTCGGATATAGAGAATGACCATAAATATGATGTGAACCTTTAGAAAATCCAAATTCATTTTTTGCCATTATCCTTCCATTATTCCATATACGTTGGAAAATTGGCTTTGTTTGTGATAAAGTTAAGAGTCTCATGGGCAGTAATACAACCACTATTAGTCCAAACAATTCTTTGCACAAGTTTCGCCAATTTTACAGGCGTTTTGGACATGTCTGTTTACTATCTAGGAAATTTGGAGTTCAACAATGCGTAAAATACCTGTTATATGGTAGGAGCTTCAGGATATGGCTTTGGTCTTAAGCAAACTGTAGTTCTAGTATAATGTTTTTTGTATATTTAAAAGCCTTAAACTTAGCAGATCTGTGTCTAATTTAACTTCCTTAAGACTCCAAAACGCTTTTAATCCTAATAGGACCACTACGTACTCAAGATTTTTTGGGCCTATTGGGGTTTAACTTTCAAAAGAAGATGTTGTTCAGGGGCACTCTTATAGATAGTATCGCATCTATAAAAACGTTGAGATTTTACTCTAGTTTTTCTATCCCTTCACTTACGATGGCTATAAGTAATCGTCTACAAGAATACCAAGATTTAATTAATTCAATACGCTTAGTTCTCAGTTGCTAGTTCATCAAACTTTCACCAATTAGCTTTTACCTAGAAATAGACAATAATGGCAAATCAACTGGCGCATTCACCGCATTCTTTGTCATTATTTCTTATGCTAAAGAACATTGGAGTTTGATTACTTTTAACTAAGACCCGAATTAGCCCTACTGCATGTTATCCATAGATATTTTATAATGCATATGGACACATAATCATCCAACAAACTCATTTTGTAGAAGTGGTCTGACCTCGTTTTCGCAACATGGCCGTCTTCTCACAGCGAACTAATTGAACACCTTGGTCTTCATATCTAAATTTCGTTTGTATAGAGATATAATTCAATCTGCTTTACATGACCGTGAAGTTTTGTTCGTAAGGCCATATTGTCTTGAAGCTGTTTATCACGTAAGAGGAGAAAGCTCACCAAAATTTATCTTGATACTATTGTCTTTGGGACTGTGGTTATCTAGTCGATCTAATTTTTTTTTAAATAATGGAGCAATAGAATTAAAAAAAACTAGAGGGACCACATATTGAAATTAGGTAAAAATTCGTAATGGGTATGTTTTTGTTTATTCACCATAGCTTGCCTAACGTAATGAAGTGTTGATACTGAATTTTTCCACAATACTATGGCTGAGCCTCACGATGCAATTGAATTACACTTAAAAATGCTTCCACAAGTGTGTTCTCATCCAGGGTGGACTGCATTTCTTCCCAGCACTCCCAACGGCGTAGTGGTGACGTCAAAAATAAGTGCTGCACTACCCGAGTAAGCTGTGCGTGTTTCTAATTCCGAACCTGAGAGTCTCTTGCTCTTTATAAAAGCATATATTCATCTTTAACCAATTTCTAAAGGTGTTTGAATTTGAAGTTCTATCATGAATTATCTAAACTCGAAAGCCTATTTGAGTTTCTTGACTTTGCCATCACATTTTAGCATTTTGGATTTGCATTTTAAGTTTAATCAAAGTTTAGTGATAGTCTGCATTACTTGCTAAAGGATAGCAAATTGCTTAGCCTTGGGTCCCTTTAATTTACTTACACCACATATTCGGTCCTCTGAATAGAATAATCAAGCTATAACAATGGACTAATCGGCCACCCAAGTCGATTAATACTAGCTATTTATGTTTTGAACTCAGCCAAATGTGTATAAACTTCTACTAGATTGACGATTTGTTCTACTGTAATCACTTGATGTCCTGAGCAGCATTTAAAAAAATCTACCAGCACCAAACAATTAACTGATTAAAGTAGATCTCAGCAGTCAATCCTGTAACTTGACCCTTCTTGACTGTTGTTAACGTTATGGGATCCCTTCCCGTTTCTGCAATTTGATGAGAAAATATCATTCCAATAGGGTCATTGATATATTATATCAAGCATATCTTAAGAAATTAGAGGAGACCTTTATAGGGAGAGTAGAAAATTATTTAAGTTTTTAGACATTAACTCTAGACTGACAAGATTTGAATCGAATTCTCACTCCGTAGGATTTCATGAAACCACATTAGATGGCAGACAAAATATCGAGGAGGATATCTGATCTGATGAGAAAAAACAACCAGAGTAAGCTGAATAAATATGGGACCTATAGGCAGTCCAAGGTCAAGCCGTTGGGCAAAATAAAGATATCTCTAGAATGACGAATTTCACAGTTCAGACGAGAGATAAGGGTATAATAGTAAATCTATTTTCCGTCCCTCTTGACCTCAAAATCACGGCGATCCTCAAGCATGAATTAAATTTTGCTCTCCCTAACGAACGGAAGGCAATCATTGACATTTTTGTGGTGATAAATACCTATGAGAAGCTCCGTATGAACAAAGCTGGAACTGGAAATCATCCCAACAATCTTGATGCATCAAGAACCCATGAATAGGAACGACATAACCAAGATTTATAGAAAATTAAAAAGAACGATCACATAGTTCTACAAGCTGATAAGGGTGCCTCAGCAGTGATTGAAAGGAAGGAATATACAGAGAAAATGGAAAATATTTTAGGGGACGCAACAACTTAGCGACTGCTAACAGAGTACTCAGCAGTAAAAAAAGAAAAGACGACATTCTTGAAACGAAGCAAGCCAAAAAGAGCCTCTAACCCAACTAACCAACAATAAGAACTGCCTGTTTCAATGGCCCCATCTATGAGAGAATATTTGGTCTGTCTATGGGCACACCATTCTCACATCCGTTGGTTAATAGCTATATGCCAAGTTGGAGGAGAATTCTAAAACGTCACCTTAGTAGCTAATAGTAATTTTGCGATAATTGTATGACTACTTCGCGCCCTGGTCGCATTGAAAGGAAAATCGGACGATTTCCTGATCTTCCTAAATGACATGAATGTAAAATTTAAATTTAAAATGAATATGGAAGAGGACGGACATTTACCTTTCTTAGATGTGGAGCTCATTCGCTCCGAGGAAACTCAAGAAACGGCCGCTCCGAAATAACTCGCATGCAGGAATAATCCTTAGCTTG